AAAAAAAGCGAAGAAATAGCTCAAAAGCATTAATTTCAACTGGGCAGTGGTGCCGCATGCCTTTAATCCCAGCACTTGGGAGGGAGAGGGGGGTATCTGTGAATTCGAGGCCAGCCTGGTCTAAAAAGAGTTCCAGGACAGCCAGGGCTGTTACACAGATAAATACTGTTTCGAAAACAAAAACAACAACAAAACATTAATTCCTTCAAGAATAAGTAACCCAAAGAACAGAAATTAAAACTTAAAAACTACAAATCCAAGCCCTTAACAACGAAAAGCTTTCTAACATCCGAACTGGATTACTGGACAGGAAAAGGGCATAGACAACTGGAGAAATTTGAATAACTCCTATCGAATATTATTAAACAGTTGTTGAATCAATAATTTACATAATTTACTGCAGTTATGCACGGTAATAACCTTTGAAAATTCTAGATAAAGAGGTCAAGAAAACTATGCAAAGTTTTGTTAAATCTTTGTTAACATGATTTCGAACTGTGAGCCTTCCTTAGTTGGGATGTCCACTACACAACTGTGCAATTTCTCAATAAAAACCGTACACAAATTAAATCATATAAAATATGCTAGATTCATATAAAATACTCTGTTTAAAATAGGGTTCTTAATTTGAAAAAGGAGGTTCACAATTTATGGTTCCAGGATCACCTAAACGTTACTGCAAATTTGTCTTACGTGCACATTTTCTTTAGAAGCTAGTCAGGCTAAAAGAGACAGCATCCTCCAGCCCACTCACAGACACACACACACATTTAAAACACTTCATTTTAAAAGCTCCTGTGGGGACTTTTATAGTCTTGTTTGCAGAATAAATACCTTGTTTTTCAGTTGTGTGTGCCTGGTGGATTTTATGTTTGTGGTCTGCTTTAAGTGACAGAGCCAGCACTCAGAAAGTGCGCCTCTGCAAAAAAAGATTGCTATACATTTTTTTGTGTGTGTTTTTGTTTTTCAAGACAGGGTTTTGCTGTCCTGGAACTTTCTCTGTAGACCAGGCTGACCTCAAACTCAAAGAGATCCTCCCACCTCTGCCTACCGAGTGCTGGGATTAAAGGTATGCACCACCATCGCCTGGCTAAAGTGCTACAAATATTCACATGAACATTTTTTTAAAGGATTTATTTATTATGTATACAGTGTTCTGTCTGCAATGTATTCCTTCAGCCAGAAGAGGGCACCAGATCTCACTATAGATGGTTGTGAGCCACCATGTGGTTGCTGGGAATTGAACTCAGGACCTCTGAAAGAGTAGCTCTTAACCACTGAGCCCTCTCTCCAGCCCCATCCCTATAAATATTTTTAATGAATACTTGAGGGCCAGTGAGATGGCTCAGCCAGCAAAGGTGCCTGGGGACCTGAGTTCAATCCCTGGGACATGCATGATGGAAGGCAAGAGCTGACTCTGGAAAGATGTCCTCAGACTGCTACATAGGATCATCCCTCACCCCCATGTAAATAAATAAACAAATGAAAAACATTTCTCATATATACTTGGAAAATGCTTTTGCTTTAGTTTTACTTTTGTTCAGTTCCCCCTAATGAGGCTGTCTTCTTCATCTATAGCGGTACCTTGTCCTTTAAAGCTCACTTTAGTGCTGCCCAACAATCCTCCATTTCCTTGGGCAATTACTTCTCTCACTTTTTTTTTTTTTTGGTTTTTCGAGACAGGGTTTCTCTCTGTAGCTTTGCGCCTTTCCTGGAACTCACTTGGTAGCCCAGGCTGGCCTCAAACTCACACAGATCCGCCTGCCTCTGCCTCCCAAGTGCTGGGATTAAAGGCGTGCGCCACCACCGCCCGGCTACTTCTCTCACTTTAAGAGAAGCAATTCATATCTTTTCTTTCAAATTTCAATACCTCTTCTCCTCCCCTCACTCAAATAACCTTGACTTCTTTTTTACCTGAAAAACAAAAACAATCAGAAGAGACCTGTACTTGATTCAGCACCCAAAATGCACCCAATGTTTTCTTACAACCATTCACTTAATGAATCACTGATACAGCAGTTCACTATTCCTTGAGCTAATAACGCTGTTCCTCTCTCCCTCCCCTACTTTATCAGGCTTCCTTTCTCCAGCATACTAACACAGGTTCTCATCCTTAAAACAATATGACACTATTGTTTACTTTTCTGGTTATTAAAAGTCTAAAATTGAGGGATATCTATCAATATTGCAAATGTGTACCTTTTAGGCTAATCATTCCATTTATGGAGTTTCAACCTATAGATAGGGTTGCAGGTATTTATTGTTTCATTTAATGAGTTATTACCTATTAATAGAATAACTAATAAGAAGTGTGGGAGGTACATACCTGCAGAAGTCCCAGTACTCAGGACGATGAATCAGGAGAGTCACTGGAGCACAACACCAAGTTGGTCAAAAGAATCCTATCTCAAAACAGTAAAATAATAAATAAATAGATCAGTATATGTCAGTCTGATTTGTACATAAAAAAACATACAAACAACATTTATTATATATACATAAAGACATAGACAGAAAACATTGGCAAATATATAAGAAATAAAAGTTACCTTTTTTAGAGCAAATGGGAATCAGAAGTAGAAAGAACATTTTTTTTCAAGACAGGGTTTTTCTGTAGCCCTGGCTGTCCTGGAACTCCCTCTGTAGACAAGGCTGGTTTCAAACTCACAGAGATCCACCTGCTTCTGCTTCCTGATTGCTGGGATTAAAGGTGTGTGCCACCACAACACAGCAACAAGCTTTTACACAATTTTTATATGTAATTTTCAGTTATCTAAAAGGCATTACCTATTATAATATTGTCTTGGTTGTGGTGCTATTGCTGTGAAGAGACACTATGACCAAGGCAACTCTTAAAAGAATATGGTGGAGCCGGGCGTTGGTGGCGCACGCCTTTAATCCCAGCACTCGGGAGGCAGAGGCAGGCGGATCTCTGTGAGTTCGAGGCCAGCCTG